GCCCTGCACGAAGTGGTCCTCTTGCCCCACGCTGCAGACGTCGGGAGAGGTGAATATTAGAGGATCAGAGACGGTGAGAGGAGCAGGGATGTTGGGGATGGGGAAGACCAGTCAGTCAATCACAGTCACTTGCAGCTTATTGTCAGAAGGAATGATCAGCCCATGCACCACATGTGCTAGTCGGGTCAGTCAATGCACTTATGGGATGTACTCAGACACGGTGACAAGAAAGGTTAAATATGAACTGAATGGAGGAAACTTAGTGCAACAGAAATCTCAGTTTCATTTAAGGCTGTTTCAGTCCTTAGGGCAGCCCAGGCTTTAGAGTGACACAGTATCTGCTCTTGCTGATCCCCATCTTCCCACCTCACGGTGCTTGTGCAAACAGCAGAACAAGATCTGGTCACAAACACCTGAGACAAGCACAGCAATACAACATGTTGCTTGCACCTCATTCTCTATATAGGTTTCTAAGACGGCAACTACACCGTACACTGAGTACCAGTGCACAGCAGCTTCTTAAAACAAAAACACAAAACACCTCAAAAGCGTTGATATTCTTCAGGAAGGAGAACGTGCAGCAGGGACACTCTTTCCATTGTGAGATTGTTCTATGTGCCAATAGCCTGGATACTGCTATCATAGAATTATTGCACTATGCAAATATACAACATATGTGCTGTTATTTTAGGTATACCTTGTAGTTTAGTCTACAATGTCATTCACAACAGTATTTCATCCTCCTGCACTTAAAAATACATTTTGTTCCTTAAATACATATTTGAAAGTTAAACAGGCAGTTTGCAACACCCAGATATCAAAGACTTCAGTTCCAACTACCTGCATGAATACAGGTACATTGTGCAAACCCACAATATCATAAATATACACGAGTGACTAACGACACAGAGCTTATGCTGTCCAAGCACCCACAGCTCTGCTCGGCTAAATGTGCAATCACGTGAACAGATCCAAGTGCCTGTATTGTGCATGGCTGCATCCAGATCAGTCCAGTGACATCCAAATATTATCCCCATGTCTGACTCTTGGTTTGGTGTCATGAGAAGGCCACGTGGGAAAGCCTGTGCTAACACTGCTGCAGACTCCTTTGCGCTGTGTGCAGGCCTGTGCATTGCCACTCTGCCTCTTCCTTAAGTTCAAGGCCAAATTTTGCTCTTGGTAGCACTGATCAAATCACCCAGGTGGTAGATGGTTCTGAAGACAACCAGTATGTCTGCAAATTATTCAGAAGGGTCTCAATCTGCATAAATCTTTTGATGGGTTTCCAAGGCTGCAGTAGCTGAGTCATGCTAATGACTGATACTGGTAGGGGAACACCTTCCTCTGTCTCCTCCACTGGCTCTGCCCCTGTTTCTGAGCAGATTCAATTCAGGAATCTGGCAGAAAATTATCTGACTTCCCTCTTTTTTCTGCTGCATCTTCTGCTGGGCTAGTGAGTTGAAATGACTCGCTGAAAAGGTCTAACACCAGATCAAAGAGAGGTGAGTGGCAGGAAAAAAAGGAAGGAAAAAAGAAAGCAGAAAAAGAGAGCCCCATTTTGGAGCCATTGATCCCCATTTTATGGAAACCACAGCCTTACTGTGGGCAAAAGCTCAGCTTTTACACTAGAACACAATGCAGTCAGGAGCACAGCCAGCCGCCTGCAGTGGCTCACAGTAAGCTACTCACCCCACATAACCACCAGCTTACAGGCTGTGGTGAGAGAAGCAACAGGGCATTTTGCTAGCTTTTCATTTCATGGTAAAAGGTACTCTGTATCAAAAGCCATGGTGGAAGACCCCAGTCGTTAGCTTGGGCAGAGAGGAAGGCTTGTAAGATTTGGCAGCACTAGCCCCTGGCCACACTGCTGTGTCTTGGCATCAGGGAAGCTGCACATCACCGCAGTGAGCTTGCAGCCTTCTGGTGGAGTGGGTTTGGCAACAGCAGTGGGAGTACGGGGAAACAATTACAAGCAACTGAGTTGTCACCTGTCAGCTCAGCCGCAGCCACTGGGACATCTACTTTCTCATCAGCATGAGACAAAACCATGAGAGTGATTTAAATCAAGTATCCGTGGTCTAACAACCCACCCAGGGCTTTAACACAAATGGTAATTCAACAGCTGTTGTGCTAAATGCCCTTCCAAGCTAATAAATTTATTTTTGGAGTATGATACAACTTGGGTATCATATTCTGGCCATATGTGTTTAACTACTTCAACAAGTAGTCTATTTGAGGCTGCTCATCAGAATTTGCCTGGCAATCTGCCATCAGCACCAACAGGAAGGTAGAGGTACCAGAGATGTTGCAAAGTAGAACACAACCAAAACCACCCCTATAATATTGAACTATCACAGTAAAGACATATATTCCACGGCTTATCCCCCAACCAGACAAGCAAAAGTTGCTGATGTGCCCTGCTAAGCCAACGGTGTCAGAGACGTTGCCTCACCCAGTGTACAGGCTGGACATCAGTAAAACCATCCTAACACTGTGGTTAACAACCCAGACGGTATGCGGAGCCAAGAAGTCATGGGAAATGCTTGTTACGACCTCCCAGCTCAAAATCCAAGAGTGCCTGTCTTCTTTCTTCTGGGTCACTCTGAGCATTTTTGGCTCCTGCCAAGGGAGCTGAGGTCCTAGTTAGGGCTGAATTACTGCATTGATATAAAGCAGCATTTCAAAGACCTGCTTACAGCAGGGCACATCTGCAGCCACTGATCTGCTTCCTCAGAGACAAGAATAATTGTGAAATTACCACACTAAATAGCCCATACAAAATAGCCCACTCTAAGGCATACTTGAAGATGTGAACCACTGCCAAGCTCTGAACCTGATAATAGTATAAGAAGCAACTTGGTTGTAAGGTCTGTTTTCTTGCCTTGTGTGGCCTGAGGAGTGACACGAGCCACCCACACCATTGGGTGGCTTCTTTCCCCTAAAAGCTCATGGCAGCTCTCCCCAGAAAAGAGATGTGGTTGGGCAGGGGAGGAGAGGTGAGAAGTGGAGATGTGCTGCCCTAGCAACACCAGCTAATATCCAGCACAGCAGAAGCAAAGTGGGGAAGCAAGTCAGATCCTGCAATAGCTGCCACTGGGAAGCGCTGAGATGAGTGCCAACAGGGGAGAAACAGACCAGAGACTTTCTTAGAGGTTGGCTCCATGGTTGAGCTCTCACCTGGTGCCCCTTGAGACCTCCTTGGTGTGGGACCCCTGCATCCTGGTACATACTAAGAGAAGTTGCATGAGTCCCTCAGTGGGAAACAGCAAAAAATCCCAAAAAGAGCAGCACCAGCCTTGCCAAACTATTTTTAACTGTATCACCTTAAAAGCACTGCCATGAGGAGACAAGGCTGGGCTAACAGCCATCAGATGGCTGCCCTCATCTGGAAGCTGGGCAGCCGTCTTGCTGGCTGCACCCCAAGTCTTTTTGTGCTTCCCTCTCCTTCACCTACAAGTCAGGTTTGCCATGGCACTGAAAGTCACAGACAGCTTGCACTCACTTAAGTAGTGTCATGATTTGGTCTCAAGCCCCAAAACCAAGTCACCAAAGCATAGCCCTGCAGTCTGAATGACCATGCCAGAGGTAGCAGATTTGGCGATTATGCTGCCACAGCAACAAGGTCCTGGGTTAGGACCCGGCACACGGGAAACGCAGACTTTGTACCAGCCTTGCTACATGTGGAGCACAAAGAGACCAGAGCCAGGCTGTGTCACCTGCAGGAAGATTTGTGGGAGGACAGATGTTCATTATAGTGGAAATCTCTGCTCTTAGACCTTCCAGTGAACATCTACTACCTACCCCATCCCCAAAACTGACCTCCGATAAGGCTTAAATGAGGTGCAGACGTACTGCCACCTCCCTCGCACACAGGAACATTTCATCCTAGCAACACAGAAATAGGTTTTAAGTGGCACCAGGTGGGTTGTTTTTATTTCTGTCTGCTACCTTTGTTTCACCATTTCTTTGGAATTAGTGATGATTAAAGTCACTGCACAGTTGCAGATCTAAAGAAAATGAAGGCTATGTGAAGGAATAAAGACACACAAGAATAAAGAAACATAACAACAACAACCACCAAAACGAAAAAGCCCCTCAGTAACAGCTTGACCCAACACCCATGAGAAGTCAGCCAAGGTGGACTCTTTCATTGACTTCAGTGGGCGTTAGATCACCCCAGAGACTTGTCTAAAGCCTCATCATGGCCCTAGGGTATCTGAGTGGAACATAAACTAAGCTGAATTACTTGAGAAGTACTGCACATAACTTTAAAGGTCAACAATTATAAACATTCACTAAGATACTGAATTAGTCTTTTCCCCATTCTCAGAGAACAACTGCGTTGCAAAGTCAAATGTTGGAACAGTAGCACTCATTATTTCAAGGCTTTAAGGACCAAATTCTGCCTTCAGATTCACATGCAGATTTTCCATTAATGCAGAAAGATTGTGTGTAGCTGACTTAAATTTGTTTTCCAGCACTTAAAACTAGCCAGCTTTTTCATTTTGTCTATTAAATATGAAATTATTGTTACACTCTCTATGCTACTATTATTTTGTAGATTTCAAATGATGGCTTGCATCTAAGATGTAGTTGATGCATTTTGTCTGTACAGTTCACAAAAAGAGAGTGGATTTTTCTGCACTGTTGCATTCCCCATAATAATGAAAAAGTGGATCTAAGTCAGTAGATTTTACATTAACAATACGCAGTGACAGAGTACCAACAATCTGTGCTTAAACAGTTACAATTATCTGTATGCCAGTGTTTTTGCCATACTTTTGGATACTGTTGAAAACCATACTTTTTAGTATGAAAACCAGCAACATTTTGATCACAGAAAATCAACAAAAACAAAGTTAAAAATAGCCTTTAACTGACTTCAGGATTTTTTTCCCATCTGGCATAAATGAGCTCCAGGAAGCAAAATAAAAAATGGACAAAAATTGTTGTAAATGTTTTCATGAACTTACATTGATGTATCTTATTTCTTGGTCTTTCTGAGCAAGAATAAGCCAGCAGATAAGAAGCAGCAGCCAGTGGTAAGTTTGTCTCCTCCACTCTGGGAGGTCATGTTAAAACAAGAAGTTGAAAAATGCTTTAAAACAGAACTGCTACATAACCCTCCCTGGGTATTTACACTCACTGATGTGTGCATGTTAAAAACACAATTTCCAGTCTGTCTTGTGTTGCCTGAGAACCATTTTTGTCTTTTTAAAATCTGCATTTATATTATAACCCATAAGTACCTTTCATGTTTGTATTAACACTATAAATACTATGTTAGTAATACTAAACTATTTCAATTGACTTATTTGTAAAAAGAAAAATATATTATGTATTTATATATTTTATAAAGTGAATTAACACTGGAGAGAGGGCTATGGGGGAATGGTGTAAAATCACAGATGATGTGTATTAGTGGGCACAAATTGAACACTTCAAGCAAAAAGGAAAAAAAAAAGTGTTCAGGTGATACCCCTCTTTCAAGCGGTGTCAGAGGAAGAGTCATAGGACGCAGACACTATGAAGTTGCCAGTATTGGAGTGGCTCCCCCCGGGCCGGGGCGCCCC